GATTCCAGGGCCTTCCTGATGATTTGGAAAATGTTGGACGGGGCGCATTTCAACTCGTAAATTTCGGCAATCCCACCGGTGAAATCCTCAAAACCTTCTGTGGTGGAACCTCCAGACAGAGCTTCATAACATCCATTCACTCTGAATGAGAGAACAGTGTCACTCAGTGGGAAAGTGTGCAAAAAGAGAGACACAATATATTATATGACTCACTTAGCATAGGCCTTCTCCAGCAGGGCGCTCCAGAACTCTGAGCCTGTGGCGGAATGAACAAACAGCAGTTCTCCATCTCGAGTGGCCAATCGATCATCCACCACCACATCCACCCATTCCCCAAACTGCCACAACTGCAACCATCAAAACAAATTCACTTAAATTAGGGAGGACTCAGCAGATGAGACTTAAAATACAACCTCATAACACACGATTGTACAGCATCAAGAGTCAAAGCACAGTCTGATACACCTGCTACATCTGAAAAGCCTGTTATGATCTGGAAATGCTTAAATAACTGAACTCAGTGGCATAGCAAGATGTTGAATTTAAAAATACAGTAAGGCTGAGCACATAGAGGAACTGAGCAGAGACGCACTTCCTCTGGGATCAATGCTGTCCGTCTATTGAGTCAGTTTGACTTCCTGTCCTGACAAAAACATTCCACCATCACAACCCATAAAATCAAGTCAATGTGAGTCTCTGTTAAAAAGTGATAACATTTATTTGACATCTATCTGTCTAACTTCCTAGAAACCAGCTAGAATTATTCTGGCAACCCCCAAGCAACCTCCCAGAACAACCTCCTAGCAAGGCTTCATTCCTTAAAACTTTATCTCTCTGCAAACACCCCAATTATTCAACATTTTTCTCTTCACAAGCTGTCCAAGTGCAACATAACTTTCATATCTACTTTGTTTACCTGAAAGTGGAAAATTCCAGCATAGTCTTGCCCAAAGCCCTGGTTGGATGGAACGACACGAGCCAAAACGTCTTCATTGAGGGTTAGGGAAGCAATGGCCGCTAGGAGCCAGCAATCACCTGCAGAAAGGAAACTCTTGTGGTTGT